ATGAGGGCAACTATGCCGCTGCGAAGGCGCACAATCTGTGGTGGGTTCAGGATGCATGTCTAGTGGTTCGTACTCGAAGACTGGTCATCAGCACGGGTCGTCATACGATGTCCGCAGAGCAGCCTTGGATCGCTGATTAAAGCTTTCCGGAGAGTACATGTCATTTTAACCCGACCTCAACGAGTCCTGCGTGAAAGTCAGCTCCTGCTGGCTCATGCGGCTGCGGCACAGCTCCCTTTTCTTTCAGCATGTGGAAGGCAGTTTGGTGTGACAGTGGACTCGTTGCTGTGCTCGATTTTTGGCAAGCGCTGCAGTCGCAAGAAGCACTCTTTTCAGCTCAAGGTCGTACGCTCAACTGTGAGGCACCACTTGGTGGGCACTCATGGAGCCGCAAGCATGGATGCTCTGTGAAACGCTTCTGAGACAAACTCATTCAGGTCACTCGAGATGCCAGCCCGACACTGAAAGGCAGCTTCAGATGTGTCCCTTCTGAAAGATCGAGACCTGTGTGTCTGCCTGTACGGCGGGTGAAATTTCAGCCGCTCATGTCGGCCCAGCAGTCGGAACACTGATGCGTGTGAGATGGACAGTTCGGTTGCGCCTTGCTTGCCGTCGGAAACCATGATCACGGAGTCGGAGTTGACGGAAAGTCATCTGCTCGACGGATGTGGAGGTCCACGATGGTCGCACTAAGACAGGCCAAGCTCAAACTACAATCAGGCTCATGCAGTTAACTTTCGGATTTAAGCATCCACAAGCGATCAGTGTTCCGGCCCATTCCCTTACTCAGCAGCTGCAGCTGGCATGTCCAGACTTCCAAGCTTCCAAGAATTGTGCGGAGGCTTGGAAGCTGTGACACGAACCGCAGTTGGAGTCCAGCTGATGTGAGGCAGGAACCAAATTCAAAACCCATTGAGCAAGTGCTGCAATCCAAGGCAATGATCTTCGTACTTTGATGCCTTTAATCTCCTTCAAAAGCCAGCACCTTCTTTGAACCCGCAAAGGCCTCCTGGCAGCTGGGGCAACTTCATGGAATTAAAGATCTGCATGAGGCGCAGAGTGAGCAGCTACAATTTTGTAACTTATTCAGCTGACAAATCAAGCTTTAGGAACTTGCAACGAGAAATCAGTCACCCGTTGCATTTGCGCGTAAGGTGGAATTCCATGCCTGATCATTTGCCTGTCTTCTTCCTGCTGGTCTCTCTTTTGGGGTCCATGTCTCCAGGCCCACGGCCCGATGCAGTCCATCGGGCTGCAGTACTGCACTGACCCAGCATTCAGCAGCCTTCAGCACAGGCAAGCTGGGGCAGCGTTGAGCAGTTGATTCCAGGATATGCTTTTCCTGCTCTCTTCTTTCGCGCGGTCAGGAGGGCGCGCTCTCGCTCTGTCTCTCTCGCTCTCTCCCTCCCTTCCTTGCTTCCTTCCTTCCGCGGGGCCTCCCTCGCTCCTTCTTTCTTTTGCGAGGGTAGAGAAAGAGGGAGCGACCCTCTTCAGGGGCACTCTTGTGCCCCCCCCCCCTCCCTCCCCTCATCTCCTCCACTCTACCTCCATCCCTCCTCCCTCCCCCCCCCGCCCTCCCTCCCTCTCTCTCTCTCTCTCTCTCTCTCTCTCTCTCTCTCTCTCTCTCTCTCTCTCTCTCTCTCTCTCTCTCTCTCTACATCTCTTTCTGTCCATAGGGGGTTGATGCTTGCCCGGTGTCTACTCGGTGGCGCGGCATCTGTCTGGCTCCTGTCTCTGTGTCTGCCTGATCTCCCCGTCTAATTCCGCTACCCTTCAATCAACACGATGTCCCCAAACAGCAATACTCAGCTGAGGGCTAATCCGTTGCTCGCAATCTGAGCCCTGTGCGACTTCAGCTCGTTTGCAATGAGCTCGGCATCGCCCCAGACATCGTTGACCCGGTCTATCCGCATCTGACACACGAGTTGAGATGGACGGTCATGTCGACTGTAGCAACTGCCGGCCAGATAAAGGAATGAGCAGCAAAAGCACGAAGATGAAATTCACTGTGACAGCTGCTGGACGAATCGCATGTCTAACAACAGGTGCAAGCCACCGGGCATCGGCCGACCCAACAAAAAGCTTTATGCCAGCCAAACAGTGGAAGAGCGCAGCCGCACACCGCACGGATCCTGTGCAAAATAATAGGACGCGGGGACAGAATTTGCACCGCACCGGAACGGGACCCTAGCGTCGAGGACGTTTTGCGCGGCGCGGATCTGCTTATCAACTCTCTTTAGCCTGCATGTAGAACACCATCGGGGACACTGCTTGGGAATTTGCCAAAATATTCTGACTTTGCTCGGTGTTGTTGGGCTTACCCCGACAAGCAAATGCCTGATGTCGAGCAAATGAGCTCGGCACTTGATGCATGACTGGGGCAAACGAAGACCAGGCCCGACGTCTCAAAATCGACATCTGGCAACCCAAAGACTTAATGTCGCGATCAGGCGTCCAGTGATTGCTCCTGTAACATGGTCGAAGCGACGGGCGAAGCTTTTGCGATGCATCACGCCCCCTTGCGATGCCGTAGCCCTGTCATTCCAGTGTGACAAATCAAACAAAACCCGCCAAGTTGGATCGAGTGCGGACAGTAACGGCGCTGTGTAGCAGCTGCGAGGCACCAACCAACAATCACATGTTTCACCGTTCCGACATGAGATTCATACGCAGAAGGCCAACCTCCGGCAGAACGACGAACGCATATCTTCCCAACTCAACCTGCCCGAGGCACCAAATGATCCATGTCATCAGCTGCCATGTCTTAAAACGGAAGAATACAGTCCGGGCAAGAGGAATGCGAAACATCCAACTTTCTGCAATCCTACGGTATCCCACGGTACTGCACAGAGTCAATGCCGGGCCCAAGTCCAGAAGTGACATTGAAGGGAAATACCATAGGAAGATCCCTACTGAGGGTACGTAGCCGAAGGGGCCATGCATGTGGTATCAAACCATCGCCTGATGCTTGTTGTATGCCATGAGTGCGCCCTCATCGAGCACCTCGCGGCTTTAGTGTTATGGTTTCACCGTAACCATCATCCCAGCGGTCCTTAAGTGCTTTCGGGTTGAGCTTGTGGGGTCTTCGGGGAGGCCTTGCTCCCATGTCAGAGTGTCGTGGGACTTTGTAAGGCTGTAGCACTCCAGACTCTAGCTTGCAGCCTCAACTTCGACTGGAAAGGCATGCCGCGGTGTGCACGAAAACTTACGCAACCGATCTGGATGAGAGTCCGTCGGGACTGAACGGCCATGAAAAGAAACGGTTTGGAGGCCCAGTCGATTACTGGGTGCAGAATTCTTTGGGACATCTGTGGGTGTTTCTTTTTTTTTTGTGCCCGGTGGGGGGGTAGTGCCGGGGCAGGGACGTGCCCAGCCAGTTCTCTGGAACCGCAGTACTCGGGGGACAACATGTCCGTGCTGTTGGAACCGTCAGAATACTCGGGGACCCGTTTGTGGTCGTGCTTCGGGATCCATTGGTACGTGTAGAAACACGTTGGCTCATCAGTACTAGCCGGTTGCGTCAAGAGTGCAGAGACTAGTAGTTGTTGCGGGCACGGTCCGGGATCCGCGATCGACTTTTGGCAAGGTATGGCAATAGTACGTAAAGGGAAAGCACTTTAGCCACGCTTCGGAATCTTGCTAAATTTCATCGGTAGCTGGGGGTTCCGACAAACATACGATTGGTGATGAGGCTTGGGCGGTTTGCACGACGGAAAGACCGTGTTCATATTACGTATTGATATGTATATGCGTTGTTTATTGTGCACAGCTACATACATGAATATAAGTATAAACATAAACATAAGTATATATATATATATATACACATACGTTACTATTATTGCGATAGTAACAAAAATACTCGAAGTAATAAAAATGAAAGTCCTAGGAGATCCTAGGAGAAATACTAGGGGGTTAATTTCGATATTAATAATACTAATAAAACAGTCATGTTTGTCAATAGTACGAAAACTACACAAAGTAGCAGTAGTAGTAGTAGTAGTAGTAGTAGTAGTAGTAGTAGTAGTAGTAGTAGTAGTCACCCATATGGCGTGCCGTAGTAGTGGTGGTAGTCGTAGTAGTAGTAGTAGCAGTAGGTAGGCACTTCCCCTACCAACTACAGTTGCTCTTAACCATGTTAACACAATATCCATTTTACTCTGCATTTACGGCACTTTCGTCATGTGCGATCATCATAAGAGGCCTCAAAATCGACTTGTCGAGTTTGCAAACTCGGGCTCTTGATTTTGGAGTTGCTTCTGGGAAGGTGGGTGGTGGGGGTGGGGGGGTGGGGGGGTGGGAGGGGATGATGACGACAGTGTTCCCTGAACACACCCAACAGTATCACCACAAGAGCCGTTTAACTCGGGATTCACGGTACTTTCGTGATGTCAGACTTTGAAACATATTCTGAGCCCCTACTTGTCGACTATCCGCACGTATTACACTTTGCTGTTTCGAACTGTTTGCAAAAAAACTCGAAATTGGTCGGGGAAAGCTTCTTCGGGGATGATCACGACACTGTTTTGCGGCGACCCCGAACAAGATTTCCACACTCAAGCGCGCACACACCACACACACCACTTCAAAAACAGACCCTCCTACGCCGAGGTTGGGCGGTAGGGGTGTTGGCGAGCCCCTCCCACGTACAGCTGGCATCTTTGATGTTGCGTTTCAGGTTTTCGAAATGTTAAACCCTTCTTGGCAGCACCTGCGTTTTGCACGGTATTTACAGCGTTTTCGTACTATCCGACCACCTGCGGCTTAGCAGTTTCTTCCTCGTCGAGCTTGCAACTCCAGCTGCTGTCGCAGATTTGCGGCCTGAGCCCCTGCAACTTCACCGGCTGTGACAGTTAAGGAAACTGAGCCTCTGCAACTTCTGCAGCTGTCACAAATAAGGAGCCTGAGCCCGTGCATCTTCTGCAACTGTCGCAGTTAAGGCGCCTAGCTGCCACTGACAAAATCAGTGACACTGGTAAAAGGGATCACTCGGCGGTCGCGCTTTCCTTTTCCGGCAGCTCTGCGAGCTTCTCGAAGTGTCGTGCTTCCGGCACGCCAGGAGACGCCTATGGCGATCACGGCCAGACTAAGTCCAGCTACACTTCACGTAGCAAAAAGCTTAGCCAAAGGAGCTCCTGACATGTCAGAACGTCGAAGTCAAGTCATGACAGTCCTGCAAGACAGCAGTGTAGGAGTGTTTTAACCGTAAAAGGCTTTGCCTTCCACACACCCCAAAGGCTATACACGTAGACACTGCTTCGCGCGTACAAGACTTGTAGCTCATCATAAAAGAGAGGCTAGGCCTTGGAGGCTTCAAGAGATCTTCGCTTCTTGGCACTCATGAAAGCGCCAGGGTGCCGAAGTTTGGACGCCTTCGTCAAGCCATCCGCGAGCTGGTGGTCGCTGTCACACCATGCCAAAGCCGTCTTCTGTTGTCGGAGGTTTTCGTTGATCCCCATCAGCTCGAGAGATGTGTACTTGTCCTTGACGTTGAAGGAAGCCATTCCAGGATCGGCTTTCTCTAAGGCATCATAAACTCCCCTGGCATCGATAATGATGTGCCCGGGAACCTTGGAAGTGCTGTCGGCGGGATTCCGCACGTCGATGGTGCCGCCGTTGAGTTCATGCCATTCCAGTCGTGCAAACATCAACTCCTGTTCGCAATGTCCCAGAGCTTGAGCTTCTGCCGACAAAGAGATTCTCGCAACTCGAGGTAGCCGAAAGCTTCTCCAGGAGACAACGTTGATTTTGCCCTGACCCTGGAGCACGGCAGAAGGGTGCATGAGGCCAATCACAAAGCCTCCCGTGCTTCCTCCATCATGACGGTTCGCGAGCGACGCATCAGACCATGCCACAAAGGTAGCTTGTTCAGGAGGAAAGCTACCAAGAGCTTGCTTGAACTTGCACCCCAACATGCTTAGCCGCATGCACTTCCCGCACCAGCTTGTTCACATGTTCAATGCAGGCAACATCCTTGGAGGCAAGCATGGACTGAAGTTGTCCCAGCTTCGCTGCATGATGTGGACCACTCTGGGTGACCCGCCCTCCACTGAACAGAACCCAGAATGGCCTTAGCTTGACGCACCTGGTTCTCATTCATCTGAGTTTGCTGAGAGTCTGCAGGAGGCATCTGGTTGAGGTCGGAGCTGAAGGTCGAGTGGTCCAAGGTGAAGGACTTGTCCTCGTGCTGGATCACCCGTAGTCCGCAATGGAGGAAGTCGCTGTCCTGCCATGGTGACCATTTATATGCAGACTTGAAGGCCTGCACAAATTTCAGCCAGGTGCCATCCTCCTGGTTGCCCGTGACCAGAAAATCGTCGACGTGGGAGGAGAGGTAGCCCACAACCTCGTGCTCAGCATTCAGAATGACCCAAGCACAAGGATCAGTTTTGCATTGTCGTCCTCCAAGTCGTTGGATGGTTCCAGCCACATCCTGAAACCACTCACGCGGAGCGGTCGTAAGGCCATAGGCCGAGCCAGTGAGCTCGTCGCACTCTTCCGGCGTGAGGTTCATCGCTTGGGCCAGCTCAGGGAGAGGTTTGGCCAGAAGTCGTCGTCCTCGATCAGGAGGCCGTGCCTGCAGGAATGCTGTCCTGACATCAGCTGAGAACACCGTCCACTTTCTGATCATCGCCTGATTCAAAATCAGCTGCCGTGTCAACCTCGTCATCGTTGGGCTGGCAGTCTGATCCTCCAGTAGTCCGGGATCGGAGAATCCGAGGATCACAATCCTCGCCTTGGCCTTCACTTGAGGCTTCCCCTCAGAAGTGGGAGGTGCCTCCTTGAACGTCAACACCCATCTCATTCGAAGTAGCTGATGATCTGGCATTCGCTCAGCAAATTTCCTGCACACCTTGTGTTCAACCCACTGCCCAATCTCCAAACCTTTCGCCTCAGCCATAGCTTGGCGCTGAACATCATTCAGCTTGGCCCAGCTGATCTCAACTCCCTTTGCCATCGCCTTGGTGACAAACTTCTCAGGGCTTTTCACCATCTTTCGCCAACCTTGAGAGTCCGAGGGAGCGTCAATGGTGAGGGCAAAGATCTTAGATTCATTCTCAACAGTGGAGAACATGGCGGCGTCTTCTCGTCGAACATGCCATGGACGATCATCACGTTCATGTTGGGCTCGCTGGTCTCGGAAGCTTGGAGGCATGTGAGGTGGCTCAGGTAATGTCCTCATTGGATCATACGCAGGATCGTTGAGGAGGCGCTCCAGGTCGATTTCCTCGTCAAAGTCGGGCAGCATTTCCTCGTCCTCGATGACCTCAGGTGCCCGTCTTTTCGCAGATGGTGCTTCGTCAGGTAGCATCTCCTCATCGGACAACTCGAATCCCGGTCCATGCAACGGTCCGGCCTCGGGCCTCGAGTCCTCCAACTCACCCTCCGCCGGAAACCATGTCTCCTCTCGAGAGAGATCTTCATACGCTCCTTTTCCAAGAAGCGAAGTTAGGCTCGACATAGTCCACGGAAAAGTAAGACTCTTCGCCTCAGAGGCAATCAGTTGCTCAGTCTCAGAGGCATGGCGCAGTTGAGTGTACTGGCACTTCTTGAGTCGGCCTTGGGCGATTATCCAGACTTGTGAGCTGGGCCGCTTCTCTCCAGCTTCCCCTTTTGTTTCTGTGGCAAGAACGCGTGCAGGTCCATACCAACGAGAGATTGACAATCTCGCACGGTCAGTCAGAGAGTTCGCTGGGAGGTCAGCTGGAGTCTTGTAGCGACGGTAGTAGATGAGGTCTCCAGGAAGGAAGTGGTGGTACGTAGTGGCCCTTGAACGTTCAGCTCGGAGCGCTAAGTCATGATGTCGCCCCTCGAGAAACCCTTTTGCAGCTTCCAGGCGGAGGTTGTGGATGTCGTGCATCTGGGACCCTGGGGTGGCTGAACTCATCAAGCTTGGAACTTCTCCAGGACCTTCACGAAGATGTCCCCCCGGAGTAAAGTCCCTACCTAAGGCCCATTGGAGTGGGGAAAATCCGTGGGTCCTCGACAACGAGTTCTGTGCCGTGACCATGGCCACAGCGGCTTGAAGAGGGTTCTCCGGTCGCTGTTTCAGGAAGGTCTCGATCTTGCGCCGAAGTGTGCCAATGGTTCGTTCAACCTCACTGATAAATTCATGGTGTTCAGCTGGGGCATGAAGAAGTTCCACACCGCGTTCAGCACACCATTCTCGGAGTAAGGTGCCCCGAAGAGCTCCTTCAGCATCCAGCTTGATTCGCTCCGGGAAGCCAAAGTACTGAGTCCAAGCTTCCTCTATCAGGTTGCAAATCTGTTCCGAGGTGGCGTTCATGTGCTTGTGTTCGGAGTGGGAGCTTACCAAACGGACAATCGCATATCCCGAACACTCATCGACAAAGAGAAGGAAGTTGTAGTTTCGGTCACTGAGCCTCATGTGGAAGAGGTCGACTTGTACGTCAGTCCAGAGTCGATCCGAACGAGACATGTCCACAGGAGGTCTACCCATCTAGGTCCTGTTCTCAAGACACGCATCACATTTCAGCTGGGAGGCTGCCGCAAGTAGCTTTGGTTCCGCACCACGGGCTTGGAGGTTCTTGATCAGGAGACGGTTGGAAGGATGCCACAAGCGGGTGTGGATCTTGTGCACCCGATCCATCAGATCACTCAGTTCCTTGGCATTCATATCTTCCAACACCGTCTTGTCCACGGCACCAATCAAGGAAAATGTTTCCTGGTTTCGCAGCACTTCATCCATCAGTCCGGATAGTCGACTCCAAGGGTTGTCGACTGTTCCCGTTGGTGCTGGGAATGCCCTTCAGAAGAGCTTCGGATGTGGAGCGGAAGCTCCAGTCTCCGCGCTTCACAAGCCTCCCCTCCTGGTGGTCCTGGTGGTGATGCCAAAAGACACGCACAGAGACCAAGTATCTTGCAGAAGAGGCAGTAGGTTGGCACCACAGAACTTCACCTCCTCGCTCCACTTGCTCCAGGGCGAGCTCCAAGAGGTGATTGACCACCTTGCCAAAACGTTTCCATGCCTTGGAACTCATATCATCTCCAAGACCTTCACGTGTAGGTCCGAGAGGAACATAGCATACCAACCATCTTGCTGGCTGTTCAGCAGCCAGGTGCCGAGCTTGAAGAGGTCCTTGAGTCGTTCCCAAATCGCATCCTTCAGCAAAGCCCAGGGACCAAACCGAACGGCCCTATTTGTCCAGTTCACCTTGGAGTAGCACTTGAGAGGAGCCGCCAACCTCAAGGGCAAACAACTTTTCATTCTCCTTTTCATTCTCCTCTTCAACAGCAAAGTTTTCGGAGAGAATCTCCTGGAAGTCCTGGTAGGCCGCCAAGATCTCCTGGGTCTCACCCGGGACTCCGGGAGGTTTGGCCCATCCATGTCATCCTCCGTTCTTGTGGTGGAAGTAGTCAAGCACGTGGAGGAGGGCAACATTGGGAAGCCGAAGGTGTTTAGCTGTTGCCGCAAAAGTGGGTCCATTCCTCGGAAGGAGCGAGCCGTGTAGGCAGCCAGGGCTATCTTGTTTCCCTTCCAGGGCATCGTAGCATGCCACCGATCAGAAAGGAAGGAAACAACTCGGTGCCGTGGTTGGAGGCTACCGGCAAGCGCACCAGTGGGTTTCTGCCGCCGTCGAACTTCACCATGAGCAACTTCATCGGGTCCTCGCTCAAGCCAAAGTTCACCTTGTTCATGCTCACCAAAGGTGATCAAGTAGTTTGGTTGCTGCTTGAGGTTGTGGAGGTCGCGATGGGGTTTAGACTCCATGTTGACAATGAGACTCAGAGTAGTCCACTTGGCATCAGGTGGAGCCCACGCTTGCATCCAGCGATTCAGGTATCGGCAGAAGTTTGGGAGTTGGAAGGTAGCATTCATCACTCCAGCTTGCGAGCCATGGGCATACAGCCCAAATCCAATCGTGAAGGAGTCCCGCACCTTCTTTTCCATAAAACTTCTCCGAGAGGTCATCCTGGCCGATCGGAGGCCAGTCAGAAGATTCTCGATGTCCTCGATGGTGAAGCTACCATCACGCTCAAGCGCCTGCGCTTTGGCCTCAATCTCCTTCTCGTCCTCCAGGAGTGCATAACTCACTGCCGGTCTTGAGTTCGTTGTGAGTACTCGAACTCCTCCGCTGCCTCCTCGGTGGATTAGCACTGCGGACCCGTCGGTCGAGGTTGGAGAGGCGCTCGGCTCCGAAGCATTCGTTGTGGTCGGGGGAGACGTCGACGGTGTAGTTCCTTTCGCCCCCTTGTGGTAGCCTTTTCCTGTCGGAGCCGCTCCGCGCTGAGATGCCTGCTGAGCCATCCTCGTTTGTCGAATCCTCTGCAGGTTTTCCTCCGCGCTCTTCTCCGCTGCTGCCCAGCCGATCTCCTTGTCCTTCAGGGTGTGGAGGTCCGGCAGCTCCTCGTCGGTGGCCGCTTTCACATCCGAAGGAAGAGCCCCCGGAGATCTCGTCAGTCCGTGACATCCAGCTCGAGGTGTGTACGAGAGGCGAAGCTTGCAGGTTTCGCAAGCCACCCATTGGCCGTACTGATTCGAGCCGGAGGGGCTGCCCTTGTACATCGCCGCTGGCCGATGTTCCCCATGGCAAGGAGGTCCGGCGTGGGATCCCGAGGATCGGCCTCGGTAGTGCGGCTCCAATCCAGTGGAGCTGACTTGAATCCCGTCTTTTTTCCTTTCGGCTTGGTGGTCGCTGTGGAGGTAGTCATGGGATTCTCGAATTGAGCCTCGTCTCGCGTCATCCTCGTAGTCGTAGGGTTCGTCAGGGATGCAGCCTTCGCCGGATTTGACGCAGCAGCCATTGAGAGCGAGGAGTGCAATCAAAATGCTGTTGGGATTCATGGGATCCTCAGTCACAGTCTCGAGCCCAGGTGCATCATCAGGCAACATTTTTGTCACTCGTGCTCGACAAGTCAGACGAGGTTTGAAGGCGAAAGAAAGCATCTTGGGTATCATGCCTACTCTCATTGAAGCAGGCGGCAGCATTAACAATCGGCGATGTAAAAGCACGTTTCGAGCAAATCATCTCACTACAGGCTCAAGTGCCTACAGAACCCTCTCACGTCCGCATCAATACCATCCACAGCCAGCTTAAGTTACCGAAGTCCGCAGCAAGGCGTCTCACAAAGGCCATCCCCAGTGCCCAGTGTACTCGAGCACGTCTGACGACCCATCTCTCAAAGAGCAGAAAATTAAGCCTCCTGTCATTCCAGGCAGATCCGCCAAGAGAACCATTCCTTTCATCACAGGCAGGTCCGCCAAAAGAATTTTTGCATCACAGCACCAGGCCCGACAGAGCCCATGCCTGTCTGAGCACTAGCAGTCTCCCCCGCGCTCCAGTAAAACAAAGCCTCAGGACACCTATCCTCTGTCCACGAGAAAACCGTCCCCCATGTGCGCACAAAGGCAGACACTTCGGGTAGAATCCAGCAGCATGGCAAGGTCTCCAGCACGCCGTCACGCTCAGCAGCACGAGTAAAATGTACCACAGCCAGTTCCCAATACAGAAAAAGACCTCTCTCAGTGGGGCCGTTGCTCCCGAAGAACTGAAGTCCAAACTGGCCAACCCTCAGCAGGGGCCACCGCCTGATCGTTGTCAGCAAGGCTTCCAAGGCTTCACAAAGGAAGTGCAGGATCCGCACTTTGCAACATGGCAACGCTCAGAGACTTCTGATGAACATCAGGTGTTGCCCCATCCCCAACGAAGGCGAAGTGCCAACAAGGATGTTGTACATCCTCACTGGATCGTCGCGAGGTCGACGAAGGTACACTCCGTCCCCAGTAAAGGAGAATGCCAGCAAGGGCCACATGTTGAATCATCACGAGATCAACTCGTTTGTCCATAGAGGAGGACAGGTGCCATGGCTCGCTACAGCTACTTTACGTCCCCATGTTCTGGCTCGTGCGAGCTTCTTTCCAGCCCTGCAGGCTGAGGCCCTTTTCAGCCCTTCAGGCTGATGCCAAATAACTGGGGGATAAACCCCATGCACGCATGGCTTTGTGAATGCAAGGGATACACCTTGCTGCAGATGTCTCGCAGGAGTGGAAGGGGGGAGGGGGGGAGGGGGCAGTGCAAGAAGGAAAAACAGCGCAAGGAAGGCAGTGCAAAAACAGTACATCAGTACAAGGGAGTGAAACTCAGGGAAGATCCCAGGATCGCAGGGCCCAGACAGTGCAATAGTCGAAATTAAAAAGAGTAGTAATAGGAACACAAAAACACGGTGGCTTCACTGTCGGGATGCTCCAAAAAGTCTACATGCTATGATGCTATGATCCAGGCCACGCTTTGGCCAACAGGGGGCAGCTCAGCTGTGCCCTCACTGTCCGTGCTGTACGGCTGCAGCAGGAACAGGAAAAACCTGTCCATTCCAAACCAAGTTCACGATCTCGCCTGCCGGGGAGTTGTTTGCCCCTCCCTGATCCACCGCCGGCATCTGTGGCTGCACAGGCTGTGCAACTTGAGGCACCGGGGAGGTCATCGGTAGGCCCCCTGAGCCCTGGAGGCCTGAAAGTCCAGGTTGCAGGAGCTGCACATGTGGAGCAAGTCGCATCGTCGGTGCCGATATCGAAGCCGGACGAGTCGAGGTGGTCATCCCAGGGCTTGTTGAGGGAGGCTGCCATTGTCCTGGTGGCTGTGACGGCGGAGGTAGCGGTGCCTCCTCTGAAGGCAGGTTCGGCGCCGGCGAGCTCGGGTTTGGTCGGGCTGCCGCCAACTTGTTGGTGGATTGTTCCACCACCACCAGCTTGGAGAGGGCCGTCTCCATGCGCCCCTCCACATACTGGACCTGCGTTTGCAGTTTCTCCAAGTTCTGGTTCATGGCTTTCATTTCCGTGTAGAGGTCCTTGACAGCCACCAAAATATTGGTCCGTCCCTCCATCATTGCTGCTCCCTTGCCGGCTTCCCAGCGCAGCATGGATAGAATCCAGCTTCCTGTGCGCATGCTGAAGCCCTTTACCCACATCTGTGCCGACTGTACCAACCTGTGTACCAATGGCATTCAGTCGACCGTTCTGGTCCCACGTCGAGTCCTCTACTGCTTTGAGGGCCCGTATAGCGAGGTCTTCCGTAGACAGGATGACTTCACGGAGCGCTCGAATATCGGCCCCGTGCTCGGGCAAAGGTCCCAAGGTGCTCTTGAGGCCGTTGAGTGTCGGCACAACGATGGCCTGCAGGGGCTCGAAAGCATCTCTCATCGCTGCTTCAAGCCGGGGTTGCGTGTAAATGCTGCTGTCCAGGATGCGTTTGAGCTCCGTCAGCGTGGCAGAAAGGTGCTCCTTGTTGCGTGAAGCAGCTGAGTGAGCCGAGTCTTCCACCCAAAGCTTCACGTCTTGCAGGCTCTGTTTGAGTTCCCGCAGGGCCTCCACTTCCACAGCTGTGAGCTCCTGTGGCTTAGCAGAGGAGTGCAGGGGAGCATCATCCTTCGCAGGCAACTGAGCGGACGATGCGGTAGCGGGGGCCGGGGCCTCCGGAGGGCCAGCAGCTACGGCAGGCTCATCCCCTTTGTCCTCATCGGTATGCTTCACTTCCACGTCTTGTTTCGCGGGAGGAGGGGGGTCAGCAACAAGCACCGTATCAGCACTCACCTCCTTGACCATAGCATCAGGCAGCTTGGCCGACTTTGTCGAAGTCTCTGTTCCCAGCACTCCTTTGCGAAGGTGACGTAGGAGTTGGCAACAATTGTAGAGGACAAAGCATGCCAGAAGAACCCAAGACAAGCCCCCATTTGGGCTCGCCCCCATCTCCCACATCGTAGCAAGGGGCGGGGCCGACTCCTGGTAATGTGTGAGGGAGGGCTGCGCGGCCTCCACCACACGTGCAGTGGAACGAAGCGGCGCTCCTTCATGGGGGGAATCCATCCCCATAGCAGAGCACCCTCAAAAGTGCCACCGAGGTCACCACGGAGATCCATGGCGGCAGAAGGCAAACCTAAGTGACGACTGCAAAGGGCGCAAACCTCGAGAGGCACGGTCTGTGGCACGAACTTTTGGAGAGCCCTGTCAGTGGCTCACTGCACTTGCACACGTCGGCTCAGGAAGTAGGGCAGTTGCTGCTCTCAGGCGGTGCAAATTCAATTCTACGACTTCACATCAAGGTTACACGCAAAGGACCGCGCAGAAGAAAACCCCGAAGCGAAGCTCGAAAGCCCCCTTCCGAAGTGCCTGAAGCTCCCAAGAAGTGAATGCACGAGCTGCAGATACACACTTGTTTCAACTCGAGAGGAACACTCAAGATTCACCACACACTCCTAAGGAGCAAGGCACATGAGGGCCCTCCACGTCCTGCCCTCTGCAGGAGCGTCATATAGCAGGCTAGGCTCGCGACAAGGCAGCGAAACCATCGAGATCTGTCTCATCGGAGGTGCGCTGAACCATGACCATGTCCACTAAAGCATCTTTGGGAGACGATTGACCTTCATCCTTGGAGCTATCCTGCACATTCAGGATCAGGGGAAACGCGGGAGTAGTAGAGGAAGATGCTCTGAAAGCTGTCGAAGAAGTCGCTGTTCGAGATACCGACTCTCTAGGTTCTGGCCTTGGTACCACTTGAGTAGTAGAGGAAGATGCTCTGAAAGCTGTTGAAGAAGTCGCTGTTTGCTGCACCTGGTTCGGCAACACTTGGTCCGGGACCTCGGGAGTAGTAGATGAAGATGAATTGAAAGCTGTCGAAGAAGTCGTTGTTGCACCAGTCCCCTCAGCAATCATGAAGACTTCGGTGGCATCTCCAAAGTGGACTTTTCCAGATCCTTTTCCGGCCCCTTTTGCGGATCTCTTCGGACAGTCTCGGAACTGGTGGTTTCGATCACCGCAAATGAAACATCCGCTGTAGCCCGCCTGACCAGGCCCAATCGCCAGAGCTGTCGCCTCAGCTGCCAGAACAGGAGGGGCCGTAGAGGAAGGAGAACTCGGTTTCCCACTCTTGGCACTTTTGCCCTTGCCATGACCGAAGCTGCTTCGGCCTCGGCCTTTTCCTTTTGCTCGGTAACCCTTGCTCTGCGGGGCAAAAGGGTAAAAGCCTCGGCTCAACTGTCTTGCCCGCATGGCCTTCCGAGCATCCACAAAAGACCTCAGCTTGGAGTCCGCAGCCTGATAGGCTTCCTCGACCTGGTCAGTTCTTCAGCTGTCAAGACAGAACTGGGGTCGTCCTCCGTAGGCCACTTTTCGAAGTCGCCGAAGCTCCAGTAGGAGGAATCATGCTCATCCCACTGCTCGCCGCCATAGCCATCCGACGCATGGGTGTGGAACGCCATATCACGCCCGACGTAGTGAACCGAGACATTCTCAAGGGCCTCACTGAGGTCGTTGTCATCGGCCAAGAGAAGGCTCCAGTGGCCTTCATCCTCGACCCAGAAGGTTCGCCGGCGGTTACCCAGAGGACCGCCGATTGAAAAAAATCAAGCGGGATTGAAAATTCTCAGCGTTTTGATTGTGTCGATCAAATTCAATAGAAAACGATCTTTTTCAATAGAAATTTAAATCCTCAAAATCAATAGAACTGCGACATAAAAATCAATAGAAACCTCCACATCAAAATCAATAGAAAATCTCCATAAAATCAATAGAAATTTTCCATAAAATCAATAGAAATTTTCCATAAAATCAATAGAAAATTTCCATAAAATCAATAGAAATGTTATCTCAAATCAAACGAGAAACACTTCTGACATCAATAGATTTCAGCGCTATCTCTGCCTCCACCACTATATATAATACCTCTACCTCGACCTCAACCTGTACCTTTATCCGTATCTCTGCCTGTATATCTCTACCTTTACATCTTTACTTCTTTATCTCTCTATCGCTGTATATCTCTCTATCGCTCTACCGCTCTATCGCTCGATCTACCGCTCTACCGCTCGGTCGCTCTATCTCTCTATCTCTTATATCTCCCT